AGCCCTGATTGATGATTGAACAAAAAGGTATTTGAATTTTATGTTACCTGAGGTCTATGGTGAACTTGCATCATTGTGAGAAGAACATAGGACTCAAACAAGTAACTCCACCTCTTTGGATCACTATACATAAGTTCCTGAAAGTTAATTCAAATATAATGGTCAAAATTTTTTTTAATGATTTCTTTGAACTATGAAAAATGAAGTCAACCTGGGTGATATAATGTTACTTTCTTACCAAAGTATTATTTCCATCAACATTCTGCCATTTTTTCACAGGTTCCTCAATAACCTAAGGGACAAAATTCTCTTAAAAAAACTTTATATAAAATATTGTTTGAAATATGTTATCTTGAGATATGGCTGACCAACCCCTATTTTTGAGTTAGACATTTGCAACAGCCAAGGTATTAGCATTCTCAGGTGTGACATTCCATGCCATAATTTCTCTCTCCTTTATAATTACCCTGTTTAATTTTTCTTTTTTATACCTCACAAGGCTAATATTTTCCCTGTAGCCACGGCTGTGTTTTGTCAACCCTCTTTGAAAAAAATGGCTTACTGGATAATCATCGTATAAAAATATAATATAAAATATCATCCAAAGTGATGTTTGAACTCTACCTCTACCAATGAATTTTGCTTGAAAAACTTCAAAAGACTTGTCTTTCCACTACCAATGTTTCCTTCTATAGCCACCTAAAATTATAACATAACCAAAGTAAAGCGTGCGCTCTGATTGGTTGATTTAGCGTCCCCTATTTGCCCATGGGTGTACGCTGCTGATGACTGTGAGCAAATACAAAGACTATTTTTCCGCGTGTGCTTGTTTTTTCTGGTCACGTAAGATTTGTTAAATAAAAGGGACCTCGTTAGCTACAATGTATCAGTATTATGTTATAAAACAAATGGTAAACACCACAGCGTACACTATTGAGTTGTGGATGCACTTGGGAGGTTTGCTAAGCACTCAAGAAGCTAGAGTCACTCCCGGCTATCGCCTTGCACAACTCTTACGCTTCTTTTGTGCTTAGCAACTTCTTGCGTGCATCCATAACTCAATAGTGTACGCTGTGGTGTTTACCATTTGTTAAATGGAAGAAACAACGAGAACTTTAAGTTTTTGGTAAGGTGTAACTCTCTCTAATAATGATACACACCGACGAGTTTAATTTTGTAGCCTCCTCTGAGTATGTATGAATGAATGAGCAAATAAATGGATGAGAAAACAGAAAAACAGATAAAAAAATTGAAAGTACCATTCTGATACTATTGCCATCATTGGGCACAGTAAAAAAAAAATTCAAAGTTGATCTTGTACTCACTGTGATGTTTCTGTTCACTGAATGATCAGTACTTCCATTGACTCCATTACATGTACTACCATTCCTAATATTTCCAATCATGCTGCTAGATACACTGCCTACAGATTTACAAGGACAGATTAACAGATATGTTACAAAACAAAAGGAATGTTGTGGATTTTTATAAAATGGGCCTTCTGATATGGAATTTTTTCATGACACCTGAAAATACAAATCTAATTAAATTAACATTTAAATAAAAACTTTGAATATTAAGAAAGCAAAGTAGGCACGAGCTTACATTTGTATAAATTTGCAAGACCTCGCCAGCTACCAAAGTTGAACAAAAATAAATGATGACACTTTCTGATGGCGAGTTCACTCCATTTCGCCGAATAAAAAAATCAAGAAATATGTGAATTATATTTAGCAATATCAATCATTTTCCATTAATAAAAGAATCTGCCCCAAAGCTAAATCTCTTGCTTTAGAAAATGCCGAAAACCGAAGCTGCCTTTGCTCTCTTATTGAAGCTTTCTCTGCGAAAACGATTTACATCGACCGCGCGAAAATCGTATTTCTCTTTGAAATAATGCAAAAGCGATCCAGAAACGGCAAAAGAACAAGAAATATTCGACTAACCGAACGAAAGGCTGGTTTTGTCCCGCATTCTATCTTGAAAATTCCAGTTTAGACGCTATAGAGAGAACCCAACACATGCACCATTTGAACTACGCGCGCAAAGTTTTGGCCACTCGGTACCCGAGTTGGCCATTTTGCCTGAACTTGCCCAAATGACATCACATTTCGCTGCAGGCACTAGAAATACACAGTAGCATCGTCTTAATAATCATTTTTTAATATCAATATTCCATTTGAGAGGAGAAAAAAATTCTTACCTTTCAAACTGGGCTTCGTTACTCTCGATAAAAGCGCGAAAAGCGAGTGACAGTTGAAGATCATAATTTATTTTGAACACGTCGTTGTATTATAGCCAGCGGAATCCTGATATCCATGTCACGCAATGTAACGTCTCAATCGTCACTCTCGGTCACACCACCCATTAAAGCCATTTGATTTTCCGGAAGAAAATCGGCATCGTGAAAGCAAATAAGTGACGCTTTATCCATAAAACCCTGTGGAAAAGCTATTCCTAATCAGTATCTTTCATTTGGAAATATCGAAAAGGCAATAACGGAGTGGGGCTCAAACTCTTAACTGGTCTCATGCAAAGGCAGGAATGTTTACATTTCGATTTATTTTTTTCTTCTTTGAGATTCACTTTCGACTTCATTGATTAACGCTATATCAGACAAGAAGAAGTGCATTGCAGACCATGTAATTGTGAATGGTTACATCTGCTCATTCGGTTCGTCTCTTACCTTTTACTTCCCCTGATCTTTTAGGCCCTGTTTTGATTTACTGTTAGTAGTTTTACATTACTTCAAGCCCGTTTCTTTCTTATGTCATTATATAAAATAAGGCATTTCCATGAAGTAAATCTTTGTCGTCAACAATAACAAATGTCTTCCAGTCCGCCACAGTGAGTCCTACCCAGTCATACCCTTTCAAACCACGTGGCATCAGATAGAAAAAAACACTGGGTACGACTTTTGGAAAAATCAAAATGGCGACAAAAAAAAACTGAACAAGAGCACAAGAAAAAAACTGAACAAGAGCACAAGAAAAAAACTGAACACTGAGCGGCAGGATAAGATGATTTCAGCAAAACCCAAAATGGCGAATGACCGGCAGGTTGAGAGCATTTTGAAAACCTCCATGCATCCTTACTTGGAAAGTTTCTACGATTGGGTTCTAATGCCAACGCAATTAAAAGTAGCCTTTTGTTGGTTTGTTGTACTAACAGGTTCATTCATCCACGATTTTTTACCCCTTCCTCAGTGCTATTTCTCGAACAAGGAAAATATCTTCAACGTGTATTTTGTCAAGTTTGGCTGGGGCTGGACACAGCTTCTTTTGATTCCCTTCATATCCTTAACATCGTCCGTACACGTATGCCACATGCTGAGGCATCTTAGTAGGATGGCCGTTGCTACATGTGGATGGTATTTCTGGGTGAATTTGTTTGTTTACATCGAGGAGAAAACCGGCTATTGCGAGGGAGAAGAAACGCTGATTTCAAAGAGGAGCTGCTATCAAGAGGGATTTTACTGGAATGGTTTTGATATATCGGGACACTGTTTCCTTCTAATTTACAGTGTACTGGTTATCAAAGAAGAACTACCGCCGAAAATTTATTGGTCGTCAAGAATATCAACTTTTGAACAAACAAGCCCTGAAGATATTAATGCATTTCAACACAAGAACATTGCTCTAGTAACCCCCTTTGTAGAAGTTCTTTCCTTCTTTGCCGGTCTCCTGTCAATCCTGTGGGAGTTTATGCTTGTGTGTTCCACCATATATTTTCACACAGTTTATCAGAAAGTTCTTGGAGCTCTTATAGCGATGTTTACCTGGTATATCACCTACAGAGTCTGGTATCATCATGACCTGTCCCCAGGACGGCCATGGGTCCGTAAGAGGTAGAGTGAATGGCTGAAGTTTAAAATCACTGTTCTGTGAATTTATCACTAAAAGGAGGTTTACAATATCACAACCAAAGTAAAATTTGAGTCATATGTTAAGTTTGAGTCAACTCTAATTTTTCCCTTTTATCAGTTAATACGATTGACAATATGTTATTATTGTATATGTTATAGTTCAATTTTATACTTGGTTCAAATTTTATTTTCCTTTGTTCTCGGTCATGTTAATGTATGATAATGAGTTTGGAACCAAGGATAAAATTGAACTACAACAAACATGTCAAAACAAAACAAAACAAAAAAATCAAACCCATACATTTAACTAGCTTGTTCACCTTTTACTTCAGCTTACTCAAAATTTGTCGAAATTCCCATGTTATGAATCATTACTTTTGTGCAGTTACTGGGTACAGAATTGTAGTATAGTTTACCAAACATTTTCATAATTCAAAGGCTGCTATTACAGTGAATTTGTATAATCTGTTGATTATTTGCTAATGAGTTTGCCACTAAATGCCAATGAGAGGAGCAATTAATTAAGGACAGTTTTCAATATTTTTTTCAAATACATCTTGACAACTGAATTTTCAATTTTCCTATGAAAATTCCCAATCAAGTGACACTACAAAGGGTAATGATTTTCGTTGGGTGAAGGGTAACTATAAAGTTACAAAAGTAAGCAAAAAGGCAAGTGTACAATTATACAAGAGTATTTTCATGTATCTCCATGACCTTTTGGCTCCACAGAATGTTCTTGTTTAATTGCAGTAACCACTTGTTTTTGAACAGTCCAGTACATTCAAATGTAAATCACTCATGCATGCGTAAACAGATCACTAGTAAGAATGTCTACATGTGTCTCATTAGCTTGTAAAGACAAGTTATACCAATTTACTCTCTTGTCCATTGAGACATAATGGTTGTGGTGACAACCACAACTGATTCTCCAACTATGAAAAATGGGTTGGTAGGAATTTCCAACTTCTTGTTCATGCACGTAAAACAACGCTTACATCATGCTTTATGTATTGTACACATTGTAAAGAAAATTAAGAAAAGTTGGACATGATCATTCTGGTGAAACAAACAGAGAAAATCAGTTAGCTTATGGTGCTGTTTTTCAATAGTCCCTGTTGATACAAGATGGTGGTTGAGTGCAAGAAATTCTGAGATTCTTTTCATGCTTAACGCTTTCATACCTTTAATTTCTTTTCTTACATATTTAGAAGATATTTCTTTGACCAACAGAAATCAAATGGTAATAGAAACAGATCAATTCAAATTACACTCACAAGAAAATGGAAATGAAGAAATAACACATAAAAAGACAAAAATAATACACAAGACAAAAAAATGAAATTTAAAAAATCACAAAATTATATTTTTAAAACTCTGATTCAGTTGAGACAATTTGCTGTAAAAATGGCTTGTGTTTGAGGGGTTTCTAATTAAGAGAGGTCAGAATCTGTGGGGACAACTCATAGATGCCTTAGAATGTTTTCTTACTTGATCAAAGTTGTAAACCAGAGCAGGATTGACTCGTGAAAATGGCTCAAACAAAAAAAAAAAAAAGAATTAAAAGTTTTAAGCTGAAAACTAGGTATTCTTGTACCCCTGGTGCACGATTTTGACAGAGAAATCAAACAAAGATACAGAAAAAACTAAAAGCTAAAAAAGGGGGAAAATTTGAATGGACTTGAACTTAACTTTTGACTCAAACTTGACTTGGGCTCAAACTTGACTTGTGATACCATATAGCTCCACAAAAAGAATAACTTGAATAAACCATATTAATTTTTGGTCTTCAAATATAATCCCTGATACTAAAAGTTTTGCCCAACTGAATTTCAGACTTCTTTGTCTGCCATGACTTTCTTGCAGTTTAATTGTGGGAAGAAATTTGTTCCCTTTTATTTTAAAGTGTGCTTTAAAAAAAAAAAAAATTATTTTATCATCATATAACCCCAAGTGTAAAAGTCATTGAATTGTAGGATCCAAGAGGTGAACACTGGCTTTTTAGTAGGTGTTGTTTGTCTTATATCAATATGCCTACAGTAACTAACTTTTAGTACTGTTGTTACATAGTTTAGTCTACTACAGGTCATGTGAGTGTACTTCTGATATAGTAGCTACCAGTGTTGTATCTTGTGGTTTTATTGGGTTATCTGAGCTTATTCAGCTATGATTATTAGGATACTTCTGAGAAGCTGAGCAAATAAAAACATAGCCACACATGTAAAAAGTATGATAAATATTTATTGAATTCTTGGGTGGGTGAGATCTGTTTGGTAATGATTATGATATCCCTCTAATGTGCCCCAGATGTGCTCTCAAAAAAGTGAGAGTCTATACAACAAGCCCAGTACAGCCTGTGGTAAAACAGCAGCACCATCAATATCCAAGGCAGACGGACTGGTGCAGGTACAAAGAATGACTTGGGAAATGCTGGGCCATTTTTATGGATTTCTAAACCAAATGCATGTGGGGAATAATAGATTAGGAAAGGTGAGTTTACTAAACCAGATTTGGAGTAAATTTTGACTTTTTCAGTTATCTATCTATACCTGGTTGCTGTTAAAAGAGCTTCTGTCATTCTTATCATTGATGTACCTGCTGGAACCTGGAATTTTAGTTTAATTTGGCAGTGTTGATAAGTCTCCTTCCAGAGATGCATACCTCTTGAAAAAAAAAAATATTGCAAAATTTTACTTTGTGTGTTCTCTCAAAGTTCTTTCCCCCCCTCTCACCCCCTCTATTCCCTCATATCTAAATTTGTTTAGTTACTGCTTTATTCTAGTCTATCCCGTCTCCACATGTGCAAAAATGTTAAAGTACACGCAGCACAAAAATACAACCATTTTCAACCAAAAAAAAAAAACAGAGTTAATTGATGGAGATGAATTTACTTGATTTTGCCTCTTTTGTAACGTTGATTTTCTCTTTGTTTTCTTCTGTCCTGGGGTCTATGTCAGAGAACTGTTTGTGATATCACTTGATCTTGGACTCAAACAACAAACTTGTGAAATAGAAGCGTACCTCTTTACCCTCGTGCCCTTGCCCCTATATGACCGTATCCAGCGTTTTATTTTTGTAGAAAAAAAAAATTTTTCTTGGCGTTTTACTTTGCGAGACTTTTCTTTGACTGGAATTATTCCTTGTGGATTAAGGGCAGTACCTAATATCCGCGAAGATTAGCCCACAGAATTCTCTTACTGGCACTGCATAACTCAGCCTGGCTTGTAAACAGAGAAGATCCTGGAACTGCACGACAGATACCTTGAGTTGTGACGTCATCATCATATCTCTCAGTCCGCTCTATGATGGTTTTGAATGAACCCGAAGTGTTCGACGAACGCTTCCGAAGAGGGTTACGAAGATTGGGAATGACGTCACGTCATTCTGAAATATGGAGATGAGTGCTAACCGATGATGGCTTTCTCTTTTTCTTCCAGCGAAAACACAACTGGCTGAATTCAGTTCACCGGAGCTTTCTGAATGCAGGTTTGTAGCCTTTTACTGGCAACACTTTCAGTTTTACAGGAACCATGTTTTGCTAATATATTAAGTAATTCAGATTTATTCGAAAGTTGTCTGTGGACATCGCAGCTCGTTCTCTAAATGCGTAAATTTACATAACTATCCAAAATGTTATGGAAACAACTCAATCAGACCCAACGGTATTGATTTTTGAGGCTCGGCTCCTTTGAATGTGATTCAGCCGATAGCTGCAACTATTGTACATAGTTAATGTCAGTAAAAACAAGTCTGCAAATGACGATCAAATATTAAGGGTATTTTGTGCGTTTAGATGCGGCATTTACGAGTTGAATTTCAAGCTTGACAGTTGTAGCTGAAAGTTATCGATATATTGGAATCATACTGTTATAAAACTACTTGTGCAATCGTAAATCGACTAAATCGTAAGGACAAAATTTGATTAGGTGCAGACTGAGACGAAGGCTGTGTGTTTCGTTACAACTTCAGTGTTTATTAAGTGCGATAAGTCACTGTACAAGGAAGTTAATGTGGCTATAAATGCGTGAATTCTAAGTGCGTAAAACTAAATATTGTTGGTGTTATGCATTCAGTTCTGCTTTTATACCATTTCTGCGAACAATGAAGTCGGAAGTATCGAATAATTCGTGTCATCTTTCTGGAAGTCACGCTTGACTTCGCTTAAGGCGGAAAAGATGATCAGTTGATGCTTACTGACGCAAATAAAAGTCATTTCTAAACTTCATAAACTTACAACTCATACAATGGCGCATGAAAATGACAGGAATTATTTCCAAAACGCAATTTTGGTGAGATGTTCAAAACGTAATTTTGGTGAGATGTTCGAAACGTAGAAAATAGGATCATGATTCATTATGGCAGTTTTCGTCAGCGAGAATCCACATGATGATCAACACTAACTCCCATTTTTTTATCTAAATCTTCAAGATTGCTGCATTTAGTTAAGTTGAGTGAAATAGGCTGATTAGCAAATCCAAAATGGATTCAACGATTTACGCCTTTCGAGACCGAACACCACATGGTTGACATGTGCCACGAACAATGCAGTAATTTTTTAGGGCAGGTTGGAAGTGGCAAATGAAACCAGAACCGGAACCGGAATCGGAATACTCGGAATTCCCGGAATGACCGAAAAATGATAAATGAAAAAAAAATTAAGATAAATTAATAAATAGATAAGAATGTGATGATAATAAGTAATTAATTGATAATTAATAAATAATTAATGGTAAATTCATAACTTAATTAAGTAATTAAATACATAAATCCTGAAAGTACTACATCTTATTAACCAAGCGCGAGGGCCGTACTGGGAGAATATCGGCCTGAGGTCTTGACAGTACGGAACGAGCGCAGCGAGGTCCGTACAAAAAAGACCGAGGGCCGATATTCTTCTAGTCTCCCTCGCAGCCGTTTTTTTTGGATGTCACGCAACGCTCCCCCAATATCTGCAATGCTATGAAGGAACTATAAATCGGATAAAAAGTATTTGTAAGGAAAAATGTAAAAAATATCATTAAAATGTATCTATCAGAATGGAGTTATTAAAATCATCTAATCATATAATTAAATATGCAATCGCAACAATTTTATATTCATCACACACRAGTTAAAAAGTGTTCTCTTAAGCCCTTTTTAAATTTTGAAAATGAATCGGCAGATATTAGAGAATCTGGTAACGAGTTCTATTTATCTACATATCTATGCCAGAAAGAGAATTTTAAAACATTACTTCTTAAAAAAGGTTTCCAAATCTTCCTAATATTTCTTGAGCTAGTGCTAGCAAGAGAGAACGATAAATAGTTATCAAGCTTAACTCTCGACAAACCATTGATAAACTTGAATAGTCGAATCATCGATAGATATTCCCTACGGGACTTAAGTTCCATCCAGCCAAGGTATTGCAGACGTTCGGTATAATCAAAAGGTCCAGCAAGGATCCAGCGTGAGACATTTCGTTGGATTCTTTCAAGTTGGTCTGACAGGTAGGCTTGATGTGGATTCCAAACGGGACATGCGTATTCGATGATAGGACGAACCATTGTTTTGTATCCGGTTATTATTGCTTCAGAGCACCTGCCAAATGTGCGATTTAGTAGACCCAAGATCCTGTTAGCTTTAGCAGCTATTGTAAGGACATGATGTTTCCAAGATAGATCCGATGAGATTGTTACACCCAGATGCTTGTGGGTGACTACTTGTTTCAAGGGTAAAGAGTTGATGGAATACGAACACTGTCCATTAACCTTAGATCTTGTTATTCTCATGCACTTACATTTAGCTTTACACACCTTTAAAAGCCACTGTTTACACCAGTTGGACATACAAAGTAAACCAGCTTGAATTGGAATTGAGACTTCATTGACGGTTGCTGAGTTGTGGAGCAAAGTATCATCTGCAAACATATCACTACAACTAGGAATACATTCGGGGATTTCATTTATCTTGCACAAATTACTTGGAATAAGATCTCCTTCAAAGAGGGTATAATGCAGTCACACTCGGGGTTCGTTCGCCAAATGCTTATCGTATTTACGTCCACTTTTCCACTTAGAACCCACGGTGCTTTAGGTCTGTCAATAATTAGCCACGCTTCTGGTTTATTTACCTTGAAGCAGTTTTCGGCATCAGTTTGCATATTGTAGGCTGTAAGCTACATGTAGTTGTACTACGTGCATCCCCGTGAGCAGTGCCATAGATAGTTATTTTTTGTGCCATCGTGTGCATTTTATCGAGAGAAAATTTTGCAGTTTTTTTTGTTTTATTTCAGGAGAACTGATTTTCCTTTTTTTCCTTTTTATCCTTTTTATTTTTATTTTTACTTTATTTTTTATCTTTATTTAATTAATCAACTGATGATTTATCAAAATTCATTATTTTTGATTAGTTTATTATTGTTTTTGAATTTACCATTTTTCAGTCATTCTGGGAATTTCGGGAATTCAGGGTATTCCGAGTAATCCGTTCCGAAATCCGGCATTCTATATTTTCCAACCTACCATTTTTAGGCTTATTGAGGTTTTGAAAGTTGTCATGGCTATGTAAGAAAAGAGGGTTTACCTTTCTAAAGCATAACCTGTGGTGCTGTGTCAGAGAGAGGCATTACAACATAATTTAACTTTATTAAAGGAGCACTCTTAGGAAACCGTCCCATAATTTGAAAACGCGAAAAATTCAGTTATTTCGTTATAATATGAATTTTTAGCGATTGATAAAGCCTTTTAAAGAATAATTTTAGTTGAAAGTCAATTCTAGGGCGAGAAATTATGATTTGAAAACCGTTCCGCAATTAATTTTCGCAATCACTTCGCAGGCTCAAGAATACTGACGCGAGTTTGGAGATTACTCATTTGGTGCGCCGTGCTCGTGGCTAATTTTCAAAAACAGTATTTTGATCGTCTATATTGCTTTTTATACCACTAAGACTGAGACAATTTCCCAAAATTTCACGAAGTAGTCTGTATAAATATAAAAGTGTTATGAGTAATGTAGGTCACAATGGGAGGGACCGTGGCGTAATTACTCATTTGACGCGCCGTGCTCGTGGCCAATTTTCAAAACAAGTATTTTGATCGTATATATTGCTTTTTATAACACTAAGACCAAGACTATTTCACTAAATTTCACGATGTTTCCGTATAAATATTAAAGTGTTTTGAGTAATTGCGTCACAATGGGAGTGACCGCTGACCGAAGATGAGTAGCCGTGACTACGAAAATTAATGGCGGAACGGTTTTCAAATCGTAATTTCTCGCCCTAGAATAGGCCCTTTGCAGCTAGTTGGTCACGTGCCTAGCAACGCCGAATTGGAGAGCAAGCTTTTCTGCAAAACAAATCGAATGAGTCTCATGAGCGTCCTGCGTGTGCATATCTGAAAGGCAGTTATTTTGAATTCAAGCGTGAAATACCCTTCCATCTCTCAAAATCCAATACGCTTAGCATATAATTATAGCATTTAGCACATCTTCGAATCGGAAAAGTCAATATTCAGCTGGGATCGCGGCAAAAATATCAGCGTCAAGTCGACCACGAGTTACAGACATGGCCTCTCCTTCAGGTATGTAGACTACAGATCTTGTCTTCTTGCTGCACTTTGATAGCGACGTGTGGACGATTAATAGAAGTAGAGAAAAAGAAAATACGTTAATTCACTACACGTAAAAGTTTAGGAGCTGTTTACTACCGATAAACATAGAATTTTGGCCATGGATTTCCCCTGAAACTATGATGATAGAACCAACAAAGTTGTTTAATTCACCACTAGAAGTACAGAGATATTACTCGCCCAATTTAATGATCGTATGAATTTGAAGATTTTTACCAAATCGTTAGACTTATGTTGCTCATGTTCTTGTTTTATTGCTTTTTTTAGCTGAAGAGAGCCAAGATCTTTCAATATTTCCCTCGCTGACCTTCGATGATGTCGGCCAATATGCAAAAAAAATGTCTGGATGCACTAGCACAGCGAAGGCATACAAGTTTATGGCAGAACCTGGATATCTACACGAGATTAAAGGTCAGTAATAAAATCGAGTATTTCTTATTTGTTTTTCTCAATCAGAATCTTATATTTATGTTTTAATGTTTTAGTGATACGGGCCAACGACGCGGTGAAAATTGCATCGAAATGTTTTCGTTCGATGAAGAAGAACGAGCCACCTCATTCCTTGGAAGTTTCTTCAAGCATGGCTAATAATTCTTTGTCTGGAAGGTGCTCTTGTGTGGCTGGATCAGGAGGGTATTGCCATCATGTTATAGGGCTTCTCTATTATCTGGCTTTACTTAAACAACTGGGGCATCGAACTCTGCCAGATGATCTAACATGCACCAGCATGAAGCAGCGCTGGAGTGTGCCTAGGGGGAAAAAAATTGAAGCAAAGCAAATTCAAAATGTACTTGTGAAGAAGCCTCAGCTAGGCGCATCCTTCAACAAATACATCAAAAGCAACCTGTACTCCCCATCACCAATATATGGAACAATGACTAAAGAGCATTTTAACAGTCTACAGCCAAAGCCTCTGTTTGTAACCATTGTTCCTTCTGAGCAGGACCTGAGATCTGTTTCATTTGTCCCAAGCAAATTTGGAAATGTCCCCAAAGGGTGTTTGATTTCTTATCAACAAAAAATGTCTGCAGACTATTTAGTAAATGATTTTACCTGCACTGCATTTCCAGATTTACCACTTGAGAGTGCAAATGATAGATTTCAAAATAATGTGTCTGTGTGCCTGGAGGCAAACCAGCAAGCCCTATTTGACTCTCTTTCTGTCACAAGTGAGATTTCTCTCAGGGTACAAGAAGAAACAATTACTCAAAGTTTAAGCGAGACTTGGCGTCTTTTGCGAAAGAAGCGGATAACAGCAAGCAAGTTTGGTACAGTTGCCCGGCGAGTTTCAAATTTTGAAAACCTTGTAAGTCAGCTGAACCCGGCAAGATTTGTTCAAACTCCAGCAATGAAGAGGGGTGTAGAACTTGAACCCCATGCAGCAACAGTCTATGCTAATGTAGCAAAAAATGGCAGAGTGAATTTATTCCCATCAGGATTAATTATAAATCCTAAATGCCCATGGTTAGGCTGCAGCCCTGACCGGAAAGTTTATGATTTGGATGCCCTTGGTAGTGACCAGAACCCCTTTGGTTTACTGGAGGTTAAAGTTGTTAGGGAGGGGGCAACCTCATTTGATGATGTGAGATATCTTACCAAGGATAATACTAACCAGTATTCTTTAAAGAAGAGTGACATTTATTATTACCAAGTCCAGTGCCAGTTGGGCCTCACTGGTCTAGACTGGTGCGATTTTTTCAGTTACATGAATGATGACATGTTTGTCTGCACAAGAATCCTTTTTGATCCCATTTTTTTCCAAGGGGCTAAAGATAAGGTGGACATTTTTTTTTTCAATTACTATCTAAGCTGATTTGCCTCTAGTCTTTGCTTACTCTCAAGACTGTATTTGTTATGAAAAGATTTAGCTTCAATATTCTTTTAACCCATTCTATATTTGCTCTAATTTGTGTACAACTATATTAGATTTAAAAACTTTTCTAAAATTGGTGCCAACCAGATAATGTCAGGATGAGGGATGAGGTGATGTTGACCCATGGAATGCATGGAGCATTTTTTTGCAGAAACAGAAATGTGACCTAACTTTCTTGTTAGTATTTTTTAGCTCTTTTAGCCAAGGTTTTGTTATTTACTTGCATCATCATACTCAAATTCAAGAATTAAATATATGTGGTAATCCCCCAATTAACCAAACTTAAAAGAAAAACACCAAAAATGTCCAATATTATGTTTAAAGAGCAATTGATTCAGAAATACTATATCCAGTAACAGTTGACACCTTATAATAACAATTAAAATTTACCAAGACTCATTATGACTACTTACACTTTTTGTAATAGTTTAAATATTTAATCCTTCTGAATGATCTTCTAATCCAAATGAGTGCACTACATTGTAATGTTGTCACTTTGATAAGATTAAGGGACCTTGAAAATTTGTTAGAAGACAGGCTATAGAATAGAGCTGGTTAACTGAACCTAAAGTTGAAAGAGGAACATCGGAATCCAAAAAGTGATACTCCTTAACCCTTCTGATGGCACGTTCTACATGTATTCTAAGGCTTGCAATAGTTTTGGTTTTTTGCACATCTTGAGTTGAAAACTGCCCTTGATTTTCCAGAAAAGGAGGGATGTTTAACTCAACATTATACTCCTGTAGCATGTTACCTATATCAAACCCCTTATCTGCCATCACTGAGTCTCCTGCTTCTAAGAGGTCTAAAATACCACTACATCTTGTGATTTCCCTGTCGCTAATCCCTCCAGTGTATAAAGTGGAAACAAAACATATTGCTCCATGAGGGGTGATTCCAATAAGACCTTTCAAAGTTGTGTTGCTCTTATAGGATGAGTACAGCTGTGACTGTAACAACAGGGATGTGGGTGTTTGCACAAAAATCTCTGTGCAGTCTAAAATCACTCTGGTGCTAGGATAGAGTTCTCTGAAACCCTCAGGCATGCATCTATCTACATCTGCCCTCGAGGGCCAAATGATTTGACTTCCAAGAAAAAAATACAAAAAATTGGACCAGGTTACCAATTTTCTAGAGACTGATGATATATGAATTGCAAACCTATCAGCAAGATCTTGCTCAAATAATCCAAGTTTAAGCCGAACAAGAAACATAAACATTTCATCTATTAGAAGCATATTTCTGGAGGCTGGTCTGTTTTCTCTCTCTCCAGAGGCATAACAGTAGGTCATTAGTTCAGCACTGGGTTTAATAAAATTAAAAAAAAGCTTAATATGTTCATTTGTGGGAAAGCCAGTGTAAAATTTTATACTCTCGTTGTCTGGACCAAATCTCTCCAGACCAAATTTACTTAATGTTGCTTTAGCCTTGACATTTCTTAGCTCTTCTTTAGCTGCAGCTGCTTCCTTTCTGCTCGCCTCAAGCTCTCCATGCATGGCCAGAAGCTGAGCCTTCAGAGACTGCACCTCTGTTTCCACACTTTCCCTGCTTTGCATTGCTTCACTTTCCACTCCATCAGTGTCACTATCATCTGTTTGAGTATCTCTGCAAAGAAAGCCAAAAAATTTAATATACTCATATAGTTTACATAATTTTAAATTTTAAAACAATTACATCCTTCTAGAAATTGAAGAACCTGAGGTCTGTATATATACTTTTTAACCATACATCCCTTCTACAAGGTTTCACAAATGCTTTCAATAGCAGTTAATATTTATCCAAAACTGATACAGTATTTAAAAATAAGAAAGAAGCATTCTAGTCTAGACTTATCATTGTAACCTCATAAACTCAACGATGCATTAAAACATAACCAAAGAATATATTACCTGTCGACATGTCGAATAATCTTTCTTCGTGCTTTGAAGGAGGAATTCCAGTTAAAATTCGATGGAACAGCACCTCTTTTCAGTCGCTGGCTACCAGACTTGGTGGGGGGAAGGTAATCTTCCTTGGTAAAGTGCCTTGAGCATACTCTCGTACTAGTTGTTATCTAAATGGGAAAATTTATAAGCCATTAGACACAAGTTGACCGAACAAATCCTTGCCAAATGCTTTGAAAATCGAAATGTCTCTATAAAATACCTTGAAGTCAGGACCTTCGTCTCTTCGGATTTTCACCAGCCATTCCTTCTTCAACTTTTCATCCTTGGTACGACCGGGAATGCGATGGAAACGCAAATCTTCGTGGTACCTTGAATCCCCATTACATAGGGGAACACAGCAATGGTATGCAGAATTTTTTCTGCCCGTAATGGATTGTTCAACTGACTCGTCCATATCGATATCTACAACAATGAAAACAACGCTTGTTGGTTCCGACACCATAGTCTTGAGGGGAATAAGCAGCCAAAATTCTATGTTTTTCAAAAGTAAACAGCTTCTAAACCCTAAGGCGTAGTGAATTACTGTATTTTCTTTCTTTTTACTTGTATTAATCGTCCAAACGTCGCTATCAAAGTGCAGGAAGAAGACAAGATCTATTCTACATACCTGGAGGAGAAGCCATGTTTGTAACTCGTAGTCGACTTGACGCTGATATTCTTGCCGCGATCCCAGTTAATATTAACCTTTCCGATTTGAAGATGTGCTAAAAGCTATATTTATATGCTAAACTTACTGGATTTTGAGAGATGGAATGGTATTTACCGCTTGAATTCAAAATAACCGCCTTTCAGATATACATACGCGTGATGCTCAAGACACTCATTCGATTTGTCGTCGCAGAAGAGCTTGCTCTCCAATTCGGCGTTGCTAGGCACGTGACCTCCTAGCTGCAAAGGGCCTTCGGACCTTTCCGAGTAAACTTCAGTTTTGTTTTGAAGTGAAAGGGTGAGAACTTTTATACCGCGCGCTTTGCCGGAGTCAGAAAATTGAATGCTTTCAAAAGCGTTCAATTTGCTTCAAAATCGTGGCCATACTTTTTCGATAAAGATTTTTAAACGGCTCTTTTGTATTTCGTGCCCGAATTACCTTAACATTAGGTTAACGTTTTTCGAGTTAAGGCCCGTTTCAACGGTTTCAACATTTGCTTCAACATGCATTCAACACCGTGACTTTGTTAGAACAAATATTCGATGCGTTTAAACAGGTCGTCCAACATTGTTGAAAATGTTGAAAGCGTGTTGAATCAAGTTTAAATCGATTTAACCTTTCATTAAACATTGATTCAACTTTTCCTATGTAAAGGCCAATTTAAACGGTTTCAACATTTGTTTCAACATGCATTCAACACTTTGTTGAAACAAATGTTCGGTGCGTTTAAACAGGTCGTCCAACATTGTTGAAAACGTAAAAAATGTTGAGAGTTTGTTGAAAGCGTGTTTAATCAAGTTTAAATCGGTTTCAAGGTTCGTTCGACATCGATTCAACTTTTCCTTTGTAAGGCCTTTGTGAGGCCTTTGAAAGGCCTCCGAACAACTTTGTTTTTGCATCCAACATTTGCCCAACATGCGTTAAACTTTTGTTGAACTCATGTTGGTCAGATGTTGAAACCGTTTAAGCGGGCCTTTACACGTTAGGCCTATTTCTGGGCCAAACCATTTTCTATGTTCCACGCGCAGTTGTTTTCAATTGGTGAGATATTTTTTGGTGAGATATTTTGCAAGACGGTAATTTCTTTTTAGTCAGAACTTTCATACCACACGTTTTGCCGGAGTCAGAAAAATTAACGCTTTCAACAGCGTTCAATTTTGCCGTTCAATTTGCCAGCGTTCAATTTGCTTTGTGTTGAATCCTTCAACACAAAACAAACGCGACCTTCTCGAGAGAGTAAGTACTGCAGATAAAAGCAAAATCATAGCCATACTTTTTCGATAAAGATTTTTAAACGGCTCATTTGTATTTCGTGTTCTTACTTCTCCAATCCCCGCTTGATTCTCAGTGAGAGACAACTTGTTCACTCCAACATTTTTATGGTGTCAGGAAAAGTCACGTTATTCACGGTATTTCACGTTCGTTCTGGGCATACGCATGTTTAGGTTAACGTTTTGCGAGTTACACTGTAGGCCTACTTTTGGGCGAAACCATTCTCTTTGTTCCAAGGCTAGTTTCGAATTGTTAGTGCGAGAAAGTCTGGTAACTAGTTTTTAGCACCAAGACGAGGCTGAGGGGAATAGAAGTCGTCTCAGCATGGCAGCGAACCATGCCAACTTTTCGGATATGAAAGTATCTGAGCTTCAAAAGTTTCTAAGAGAAAGAGATACTCAAATTTCTATTAACGGTAAGAGTAAAAGAAGAGCACAACTACTGGAGCTATGTAAGAATGCAGCGGAAATAAAAGTTTCAAAAATTGAAGAGGAATCAACGAAACGCGATGAGTTAATTAATTCCAAGATAACACTGCCAGGAGGAAAATTACTTCCCCATCCACTTTCGCTCAAGGATTGGACTCATGACTTTACTGGTGTTCCAGACTTCAGCTTTCTTGATATTTACCATTATCTTGTTGGAAAAGATGGCTACGATGAAGACTGTTTACGTTCGTACAAAAGTCTCGAGGGTTTTCGCTTGTTTGT